CCAGGTTGATCCCCAGCAGCCTCCCCCGGAAATGCTCCGTCTTCCATCTCTTCGTCGCCTGTCTCTTACTGGGCTTCCTCTCCCTGCTCTGGCTGCAGCTCAGCTGCTCTGGGGACGTGGCCCGGGCGGCCAGGGGACAAGGGCAGGAGAGCCCGGGCCCATCGCGAGCCTGCCCGCCAGAGCCGCCCCGCGAGCAGTGGGAAGAAGATGAGTCCTGGGGCCCCCCACCTCCAGGCAGTGCTGGTGCCCTTCCGAGAACGCTTCGAGGAGCTCCTGGTCTTTGTGCCGCACATGCACCGCTTCCTGAGCAGGAAGAAGAGCCAGCACCACACCTACGTGCTCAACCAGGCGAACCACTTCAGGTTCAGCCGGGCGGCGCCCATCAACGCCGGCTTCCCGGAGAGCGGCAGCAGCACGGACTACATCGCCATGCACCGCGTGGACCTGCTCCCTCTTAGCGAGGAGCTGGACTATGGCTTCCCCGAGGCCGGGCCCTTCCACGTGACCTCCCTGGAGCTCCACCCGCTCTACCACTACAAGACCCACGTCGGTGGCATCCTGCAGCTCCCCAAGCAGCACTGCCAGCTGTGCAACGGGATGTCCAACCACTTCTGGGGCTGGGGCCGCGAGGACGACGAGATCTACCCGCGCATCAAAGGAGCAGGGTTCCAGCTTTTCTGCCCCTTGGGAATCACAACCCAGTACAAGCCATTTCGCCACCTGCATGACCCAGCCTGGAGGAGGAGGGACCAGAAGCGCATCGCGGCTCAGAAACAGGAGCAGTTCAAGGTGGACCGGGAGGGAGGCCTGAGCACCGTGAAGTACGGTGTGGACTCCCGTACGGCCCTGTCTGTGGGTGGGGCCCCCTGCGCTGTTCTCAGCATCATGTTGGACTGTGACAAGGCTGCCACCCCCTGGTGTACATTTGGCTGAGGTGGCTGGACAGTAAGGAGGCCTGTGCCTACAGGCCACACTGTTCCTCAGCCCAGGACAAAGCCTTAGGCTTCAGGCCCAGCTCCAGTAGGACGTGGCATGGCCTTAAGTAGCAGACAGCAAGCCACGTGTTTGCAGCAGCCCCGCCCCCAGGGCAGGCTTGAGCCAGGACAGGACACACACAGGGTACCTGCGACGCTGCTAGCAATAAACAGTGATGGGGAGCAGCTGGGATGTGGCTGGCAACTGGAACTCTCCGACCTGTCTTCCTGCTTGCCCAGCCCTACCCTCCTTCATGTGCTGAGATCTGGGGGCTTTTGTTCCTTCCCCTCAACCACCTCATGCCGAAATACAGTTTAGAAGCCAGACTGCTGACATGGTGGCCAGGGCCATCAGGAGAGTTAAAACTGCAGAGACCATCATGCAAGCCCCACCAGAAGGGAGCAGTGAGACCAGCTCTAGCTGGTGGTCACTGTGCAGGAATGTGGGCCTGGTGTTGTCAGATCTTCTGATTTTTCAGAAGAGACTAGAAATCTGGTTTCTTAAGTGAAATTGGTTAATTTTTAAATGATAGCAACTAATTGAAACTTTAAAAAGAAGTATGGCAGGCCAAAGCAAGGAAAAAAAAAAACAACAAAAAACTCATGGTTAGGGAGATGGCACAAAGTGACAAACTATGTGATTTAGTCAGAAAAGGGAATCATGCACAGTAAGAATGACTGAACTGAATTATGAAGTATCAAATAAATATTCAGTGTCCCAGTGGTAGAAACTGAGTTGTCACAAAGTGAACTTGGGCAATCCGTAACTCATACCACTTTATTCTTCTTATCGATACAGTGAGAGTAGATTAGTCTGA